TCTTCTTCACCTTCTTCTCCATGGGTTTGGGTGGTTTTGTGTAATTGGATTTAAAAAGTCCCCATTGTGGACCATCAGGGTTGGTTATTGGGTTAAAAGTAAAAATAATTGAGGTGTCATTTCTTAATTAGACAGTTTATCCATAAAAGGCCTTGTAGACAGAGAGATGGGGCTCCATTTTTAGTTTGTTAGAGTGAAGTGCTGTAGAACTCAGGGTTTGTGAGACTGTAACAGAGATAAGAACTAATAAACATCTGAATCCAAACAAGAAATTCCATCCTGGCAGAAAGAAATAAAAAACTCAACAGCTATCCTAGAAAGTTTATAATTGTCCAGCATCCTTTTGCAGTAGGCAGTTTCCTCCATCTGCCTTTGGGTCGTGCTCAGCTGGTTTGTGATCTGAAGGGAAAGGGGATGGGGTAGAAAGTAGAAAAGTCTGAGCCAAAACCTCTAGGAATGTTAGGGAGCAGCACCTGGAGTAAAGCCCAGGCTAGGTGGGGGGAAGTAGATGTGAGAATGTACTGGGGAGTGATGTTAATTCAGCTCTGGGTGTGATGATTACCCGGGGTCTCAACCATTCTGTCTTCGATGTCCTGAGCCTGGCACATGAGTGTAATGGCAGCCAAATGTCCTGGTGTTGGCTGGAACTTCTAAGAGCTCTGAACTCTGCAGCCAAATTGCTGCTCTGGTGATGCATAAACCTCAGGGAACTGCACCTCCTGCATCTGGGATAACCATGCCTGACAACAGCTTCCTTGTGGGAGCAGCTGGTGGTGGTACACAGGTATCTGTTGAGTGAATCATTTGATAATTTGAATGATAAAAATCACTTCTGTAATACTTCCTTCATTGCCATAAAAATTTGTGGCCCTAGTTATATTTCAGCCATAAATTACTCTGTGCATATGATTAGCAAGGGAGTCCCTGGCAAACAGATAAATGGAGGTTCTGCAGGTAGGTGAGATTTGGAAAGCAACTACTACATTACTTGTTTGCTTTGTCTCATGGGCTCAAACACCTGGCATTTCAAAAGAATATAAATTTCCTTATGTCCTCTTTAACTGTAGGGAAACAAAGATTTGTTAAGGTCACCATGGTTTTTGTTTTCAGGGATAGTCAAAGAAAATGTGTGTCCCATCCTGGATTTAATTTACAGCTTGCTCTTTGATGATCCTTCTTCTCCTTTATTAAAAGAATAGTTATAACAGCTGGCTTTGGTATGATGCAGTAAGTAAACAACTTATTCTGATAAGTTGTTTTCATTTCCTATCACGGAAGCCTTTGGATCTTGTGTTGAACTGTGATGGAACTGCTTTGTCCAAGATACTGTTGGTTCACAGAATCACAGAATAGTCTGAGTTGGAAGGGTCTCTTAAGTGAATAGCCCATTTGGTATCAACCCCCAAACCTTGGCATTATTAGCACCTGCTCTGACAACTCAGCTGATCTCAGATTGTGTCTGCAAAACCAGAGGGGTTTTGGATCTCTGCTTCTGTGTGTTCTGATCTCTGGGATGCTGCTGGGTACTGACTGTGCCACAGCAGTCAGAACCAGCTCCCTTGGACACACAGTGGGTGCACAATGCTTGGAAATGGGGGCTGTTTCTCCTAAAAAGGCATCAAAGCATTCTGAGGTCAGAAGGTCACAACCAGTTCTGGTTTGGCACTCGGAAGAGAGTGTTCTAGGAAATGCTCTGTCTTTTAGAGGAAGCTCATTTCCAGCTTGTGCTCCAGCCCCTGGAGCTGTCAATGTGTATTTCTTGCAAGACAATTGTTAGTTGCATTCCATACAGGAATTTTCCAAACTCTGGTATTGTAGTTTGGAAAAAAAAACAAACCCAAGACTCAGCTATGGAAGGAAGAAAAGTGCTTTATTCACACTTGCTGTCTCACCAGACAAGATTACTGTTTCAGGGTTATTCAGCCAATATCTGCAGCACTAAACAGGCCAACAGTGAAACAGAGCACAAGAACAAATAGGACATGATCTGATCTTGTAGGAACAGCAGCTTCTTGGCAGGCTTCAAAATAATTGTCCCACCATTTAAATTTTTTAAAAAAATCATAGAAGAAGATGCCTAATACTTGGGAAGGTGATTGGATCATCCTGCAGTGACTGAATGAGGGAGTTTTAGGTGGATACACAGCTGCTGGGCCTGGCACAAGCTCCTGCTCTGTGTGCCACAGCACAGGCCTGGTGGGCAGCTGCTGGGTTGGGCCTTGAGATGTTCAACATCACCTTAATTTGCTCCATCCGTCCATCCATCCATCCATCCATCCATCCATCCATCCATCCATCCATCCATCCATCCCAACCTCAATGATTCTAAGCAAAAGATCAGAATTGTCTGCAGTCCATCTATCCTTGGGGTTAAGAAGTTAATCTCTTCTCATTCCTGCCCTTGGTCACTCTTCTGCCTCCAGGGCAGTTCCTGGAAGAGGAGACTTCCTCATGAGGTGTCCATGGGGGCTTAGCACAAGCTCTTTCTGCCTGCAACATCTTGGGTAGCTGTTGATTTCTTCTGCAGTAATTCACAGGTGCCAAAGTAAGAGACAGGGTTTTTCACAGTAACTTCTCTTCTCACACTTCTGAGCAAAGCTGAATGTGTATGCTCAGATTAAAAGGTAGGGTAACCTTTTAACCAATATCAGAAAACACCTTTATCTTTTCTTGTGGCGCCTGTCTGATGAATGGCTCGGCAATAAAAGAACGTTCTATGACCCAAAAATGGCTGTTACAAACCATTGGGGTTTCCCTTTTTATGTTCCAACCTTAAATTACCTCATGCTCTATTTTCTTAACGTACCAGATTAGCAGGGGAATTCTTACCATTAAAATGGAGATAAGTGAGATTTGGAAGCCAAAATCAAGGACAAAGTACACTGAGACCAACGGGCTAATGAGACAAAAACTCTTAATGCTGAGACCTGGGAAAGATCTTTCTGCTGCCTTATTACTTTCAATTTCCCAGAATATGAAATAAGATACACAAGATATTACAGTTCCTTGAAACAAAAAGGAATAGAAGCCCAAAACACTTCTTGTAATCATGAATGTAGATATGAGAAACTGAGATTGCTCTATGTTCATAGTATTTGACTTTCATGTCTCCTGGTTCATTTGTCATGATGAGTTTCTGGGTAAAATTCTGGTTGAAGTTAACATTGGTATTCTGGGTTGATAATTCTGGATTCAACTAGAAGGGATTTTGTGCTGTCAGGATGGATCAAAGTATAAAATTCCTTGGCCATAGGAGAAAGTTCTTGTTGGAGGTTCTCTCTTTTGGAAGTCAAAATGGAGCCTTGTTCAGGAGTGGAGTTTGTGGGATTATTGCAATATAAATACAATTTAATTAAAAAGAAGGAGGAGCTCCTTACTGAAGATATGAATTACTAGTAATTTTTTTCTATTTATCACACAGTTTATAGTCAAAGGATGCAGTGCAACTCTGTACAAACTAAAACTTCTCCAAGCAGTTTTTGGGTACAGATGATCTTTGCCTGTTCCTGATAATTCTAAATTATGCAGCCTATGTTACCTCTGAATTTCTGCCCTATGCTTGCAGAAAGCAGATGTTTGAGGAATTTTGTATCACTCAGAGGGAACACTGAAAATGGAAAAATCACATTATGGCAGAGCCAGAGGGACTCAATGTTGTATCTCTGAGGAAGAGGTGAATATGAAAAAACTCTTGTGTGGGTTGATATTACAAATCCTGTTCTTGGAGACTAACCCTTTCTGTGACAATGAATCAAGACAACAGAAAAATTAAAATTTTGAGTCATATTCCCAGAATATTCCTATCTTCAGGGGTGCCAGCTTGCACTAGAACAGCTGCAATTCCTCCAACCTAGCAATCTTCTGGGAGCCTCAAAACCCCCCAAAATTGTGGTTTTTCTGCTACATTTCACAACTGCAGCTTGTTTCCTTGTGGTGGTTCACATGCCATGTTTCAACATACTCAGGCAGTCCTGGCTGAGCAGCTCAGCCCAGCCCGGCACCCAGCGAGACTCTGCTGTCATGGGTTGTTCCAGGGTGTGAATTTGGTGTCAGGTGGCACTGGGGACAGGTTGGGACTGGCACATGTTTGTTTGGAGCATGACTCTGCTGTGGAGCCACTGCCAGACTGTGCTGAGTGCCAGGGCAGGGCACTGGAGGGAAAAAAAACTGCAGACCTGGGGCTCAGTGCAAGAGTGACTGCATCACCTTGTGGGGGTCATTCCTGCTAATGATTACCCACTTCATGAGTTACCTTTGCCAGTATTCAACTTCTCCAGAGATGCAGAAACCTCATCTGGATGCTGGAGGTGATTCTTCTGGGCCAGGGCAGGGTAACAAGGGCACAGGATAAGGGAAACAAGGGGTTTTGTTGTGGGTTTTGTGTTGTGTTGTTGGCTTGTTTGGTTTTGGCTGTGTTTGTTGTAGTGGTGGTTTGGGTTTCACTTTGAGGAAATGTCTCCAGTTTAATGTCCTGAGCCTGAAACATGAGTGAAATTATAGACAAATGTCCCAGTTTTGGAGCATTTTTTTTAACACACAGCTGCTGCCCTGAGCTGGGACTGTGAGAGCAAAGCCCAAATTCACTGGAGGGGCAGTGTGGGCGTGCAGCACAGTGATCAAATTGAAGGCTGATCAGTTCTGTATGATGTCTGCTAAATAAATCCCTGAAACTGAGTTTCCCTAAGGGTCAGCCTCCACGTTTTCCACTACAAGGGCACAGGTGCTGCGTGCTCAGCACAAACCAAACACATGAATCCTTCCAGAAACACTCCTTTTCTCCCAGAGCAAAATTTGCAAGCAGAAACGGTTTCCCTAAGGGTCAGCCTCCACGTCTTCCACTACAAGGGCACAGGTACCGCAGTGCTCAGCACAAACCAAACACATGAATCCTTCCAGAAACACTCCTTTTCTCCCAGAGCAAAATTTGCAAGCAGAAACTCCTTGTCTGGACTTTCTGGCTTGTGGATCATGTGATTATAAAAGGGACAAAGTGCAATAAAAGAGTGGTGTGGTGCAAGAGCAAACTGTGAACTGGGAGATAGCATTGCTGCTCTTAGATACAGCTATAAGTTTCTGCAGTTCCAGCAGTTCCTGCAATTCCAGCAGTTACTGCAATTCTAGCATTTCCTGAAAATCCAGCATTTCCTGAAATTCCAGCAGTTCCTGCAAGTTCCAGCAGATCCTGCACTCAGAGCAGCATGGACTTACCTGGTTTCCAATGCTCTGTACACCCTAATCCGTACTTCTGAACCGAAAGTGAAAATGCAGTTTTGGAAAATGCGGTTTCTTGTGCCATGGTTGCTTACAGAGGGTGGAGCCAGTGAAATGGCTTTTTTTTTTTTTTTTCTGAGATCCCATTGACTTTGCATTTTCTGTGGAAGAGGAGCTGAATGAATTGGGATCTGGCGAGGCTGCACAGGCACTTGGAGAAGGGAAGAGGCATGAAGGCTTCCTTGGACACAAAGAGCTTCTGAGGTACTGTCTTCTTTACAGGGTCCTCTCTTCTTCTTTAGAGGGTCCTGTCTCCCACCCTGTTCTCTTACAAATTCTTGCTTTCTTGTTTTGAAGTAGCCATTCAGAAAGAGGCACTGAAATGTCTGTGGCAGGGGGGACATTCTCAGCGTGCTGCACATTTTCTGCATAGGGAAGAACATTTATTGCTGGTGCTGGTGAGCTTTGTGACCAATTAACACCACATCTGTAGCCCAGACTGGCAACTTGCAGAGAGCTCTGTGTGAACTCACACTGATTGTGGGAATGCAGAAACGCAACAGCTTCCTCTTGGTGCATTTATATAAACTCAGAAATAATAGAATAAATGTATTGACAGCATTTTCCTGTTCATGTAATTCCTGAATAATTTTCCTAAAACCATTAACCTTTTTTTTCCTAAGAGCTCCTTAGCATGTCTTGCTAATGTCTTCTTTTCCAAAAGTTCCATCCTGTCATGTTTGCAAATAAGGGAGAATTTGTCAGAAGGGTTGCAGGAGAAATCTCTGCAGCTCTTCTCCTTTTCAAGGAGCTGATTGTGCATTTTCCCAAGTCCAGCCTGACTAATGAACAATCCAGCCTGACAGCTCTGGGTTCAGAATGAAACAAAACAGAACCAAAATACAAAGCATTAGTGGTTTTAAAGTGGAAGAAGTTAACCAGGGAAACACTTCATTCTACTTAACCTACTGCAGGCAGTAAAAAAAAGGTTATCAATGTTTTATAATGCTGTGGAAAATTTTTTTCAGAGCAGGTGGAGGAAAGCCAAAATGTGCTTTACACTTAGGATTTTTGCAGAGATTTCTCAGGTTGCTCTCTCTCCAATGGCTTGTTGGAGCTGTGGATACAAACTGCAGTCATGCACTCACTCAGGAAAGAGCTGCTTTATTTCCTCACATGATTTTGTATTGTTTTGTTTGTTTGTCTTTATTGCTAAGGCTTGTTGATAACAGACCAGTGAGGGAAACATGATAAGGAAAGTGATACCAAAATGATATTATGCAAATACTTCTCCTTTTCTGGGAAAGAACTTAGAGTAGAGAATAAAATCTGTAGGATCTTCTGAAGTTCCTTGAGTTTTATTCTGTGGCTGCCTTACTTCCTTTAATAGTAGTATTTTCTCCAAACTGACTGCAACTTAAGCCTTCCCCACAGGACCCTTAGGAATCCAAATAAATATTTTAGAGATTGTGGTGTCTTGTTCCACCAAGCTGGTTCTGACCATAAAGCCTACAGACTAAATTGCTCCTGAATCTCTAGAGCCCAGGGTATGTGGCTGGAAGAGGGGTGAGAAAATGCAGAGTTTGCAGCTGGATTTTGTTTGTGTGGAGAGGGGATGTTACCCCTGTTAGGGAATGTTAGCATGTGAACCCTGGGGCAGCAGCTCTGCTCTGCTGGCTCCTGGGGGTGTTGGGGGGACCCTGCTTTGGTCACTTTGGGGTCCCCACTCAGCTGTGCCAGAGGCAGAGTGCCTGAGGACACACACTGGAGAGGCAGTGACCTGGTTTAACTTGTGCTGGAGTAGGAGGAAACATGGGTCAGAGAATTCCAGGTCATCAGATTTTAACTGATTTTAAGAGAGAACCTTTGCTCTGCTGAAAGTGCTATTATTGCACTGGAGACTGAATTTTGTCCTTCTCTTGGCAAACATTGCAGTTATTTATTGTCTTGTGTTTGTTATGATGCTGCAGGGAGAAGGAAAAGCCTGAGAGTTTCAGATGTTCCCTCAAATAGATCCTTTCAAAACCAATACCCAAGGACCTTGTTAGGTCCTGTTAAATCCGCTTTCTCCTGCTGGTGATCCCAGGTGAGCTGGTTTGTGGGTCAGGTCTGCCCTGGGGGGAAGCTGGGTGTGAGTGCTGGTGTTTGCTGAAGGAACTCCACCTCCTCCTGTTTGTTCCTTTATTCACCTACTGCTTGTTCCTGATCTGTTTTAGGGTCTGGCTTTGCTTTGTTACAGCTCTGCAGAAAACTTCAGAAGCTCTGACAAGTGAAAGTTTGTATTACTTTGAAAAAGAAAGGGAAACAAGTGGGGAAAAAAAACTGGATGGAAAATATTTTGTCTGTCCAAATAATGTGTTTCACTTTAGATTTGAGTGTTTTATTGAAGTAAGTTTAATACTGATGGCAGGAGCTGGCCAAGGCAGCTGGAGAATTTCCAGATTTTAAGACAGATCAGTTGGGGTGAACAAAGGTTTGGTGGATGCTGTTCTGGCTGTTGAAACTGAAGAGAAGAGGGGGAGAAGGAGGGAATGTCACCAGAGAGAAGAGGAAGGGACATGTCCTTTGACCAGAATGAGGAGAAGGGCAAGAAGACTACACAAGAGAGGACCAAACAAATGAGGATACAAGACACAGACCTCATGCTGAAAAGTCCTGGGAAAACCCAAATCTTAACCTCTGGGCAAATAACTCTGCCAGATGTGCTGCAGCTGTTCTGTGCAGCAAACATGCCCTGGGGTACAAATCCTCTGGAGGCTTTTAAAAGACAAGAAGAGCTGGCACTTAGGGACGTGATCTAAGTGGTGGATTTGGCAGTGCCATGTTAACAGCTGGACTCGAGGGTCTTTTCCACATTTCTGTGATTCCAAGATTCCAAGATTGATGTCAATCCCTTGGAACTCTGCTCATCTGCAGGGTAGGAGGACCAGGCATTGTTAACTGTGCTTTGCAAATGAGGAAATGGGATAAAGGAATGTGTGAAATATGAATGATCTGAAAGAAAATAATTAAAAAGACAGGATGATTTTTTTTAATGGATGGGAAGAGGAAGATGAATTTTTTACGTATGGATTTTTTATGTATGAATTTTTTTATGTAAGAGAAAATATTGTTGTTAATACTTGGTGGGGGCAGAGGAAATCCTTGCAGGACTGCCCAGGTGAGCAGGAGCTCTGTGCATGAGGTGCAGAGGTGGTGGTGGAAGAGGATGGATCACTCCTTGGAGGGTGCAGTGCCAGGGGCCCAGCTCTGTGCAGAATTCCCTGGATTTGCATCCTGCTCAGGGCTGTCTAGAGCCTGAGGTGTCCCAGGTTTTATTCCACAGGAAATTTTGCAGCTGGTCTCAAGGATTAGGTCAGCACCTGCTGGAAGCTGGAAGGGCGTGTCCTTGGATTGTGTTTCTCCTGGTTCACCTGTTTCTGGGAAATGGGGTAGAACTCTCAGCAGGTCTAGATCAGCACAGACCAGGAGAGATAAGCATTTATTAACCTCTGTTGAATGTACAATTAGGAATTAGCGTATAACTAATTTGGAAATTTCCTCAAGGTACTTCTCAGGTAGAGGCAGCAAAAAAAAGTTGTTTTAATGAAAACTTTCAATGAAAAGCTCCCAGGAACAAAGTTTGTGTTTTCCAGAGCTAGGCTGGTAAGGAAAGTTAGGTGAATTTTCTATAATTTTTTTCTTATTTGGCAAGTATTTTAATAAAACATAAATCACAAAGTTGTGAGAATTTTATTTAAATGAAAACTAACTTCTGACTAAATCCAAGGATGTTTTGAAAGGAAATACCAAGTTATTGTTTGTTTGTTCATTTGATGTGAACAGATATTTCCCATCAGATCTCCTAAATTAAAAACATAATTCGACTTGACAATAAATATTTCGTCTTAGGCCAAGTGAAACATTCAGTCAGCATAATCCATCTTCCTTAGTTAATCTTCTGGGGGGTTTTGGATAACTTGAGAAAACTTTGGAACTTGGAAACTTAACTTTGGAAAATCTGACAGCAAATCAAGCTGTTAGTTGCTGCTCCTGTGGAGGGGTGTGTGCAGGGTCACTGCCTGGAGGAGGACGTGGACGTGGAGCCTCCTGCCCAGCAGGCTCAGGAGGGATTTCCCTCTCCCTGCAGAAGGACCTCGTGTCTCCTGTGTGCTTGAGCCAGAGGTGGGAAGGGCTGTGAGTCTGGCCCTTGCAGAGTCTGGCCCTCTGAGCTGTGTGAGCAGTGAGAGGGTTCCTCTGCCTTGCTCCATCCCGTGACCTGGGCTGGAAGCTCTGTCTGACATTTGGTCTGTGAGCTGTTCTCTTTTTGTCTGGACAAAGACAACAGAGACACTGGGGGCTAAGCACTGCCTTTAATTCCCAACAGGGAGAAGAGGAGGAGCCTGCCCTGACACTGTGGAGGATCTGGGAGAGGGCCCCCAGGCAGCCCCATGGACTCTCCTCACCTCCTGCTCTTGGGTTTCCTGCTGCTGGCTCTTGCTGCTCCCCATCCAAGTGAGTCCCTGTGTTTGACCTCGGTGCTTTTCCCTGCTCTTCCATAGCTCAAAACCTCTGAACTGTTAGGATAAATTCAGCTGTGCCCAGCTAAAAGCAAGACAACAAAACCTCTAAGGTGAGAAATTAAGGGGGTCAAGGTTGATGTGTTCGCCCTGCCACAATCTCCTCTTTTGGGAGGGGTGACTGGATCTGTCTGGTGTCAGATGAGGTGAGTCCTCTCCCAAAGGACTGACTCTTTCCCAGGAGGGTCTGAGGGAGGAAAGCTGGGACACTGCACCCAGAGTGGGCAGTGTGGCAGCTCAGCTCTGAGCTTCAGTGGTCCTGGGATCTGGCAGTGTGCTGGAGGGACACAAGGTGGGATTGTGCCGAGGAATTTGGGAAGGAAAGAGGACAAGAACAGAGGAGCTCAGCAAGAGAACATCTTTTAACTCACCTCCCAGGCTGCCAGGTTCCCAGTTAAAAAAACAGTGGAAGTAGTGGGGGAATTCTATCATGTTTCTACCCCAAAATTTATCCTGGGAACTGGTCCCAATACTGTATAAAATTTGCCCATTGGCAGACAATGTCTCCAAAGCCATGACTGAGCTTGTCCACCAAGACCTGTCTTGTTCTCTAACAGTAAACATCCAGGGAGAAAACTGATGGAAAATTCTTTTCCTTGTTTTTTTTTTTCTGATGAGACCTGTCTTGTTCTCTAACAAGGAGAAAACTGATGGAAAATTCTTTTCTTTGTTTGTTTTTTTTTCTGATTTAGGTATTGCCGTGTCCAATGCTGGCCCTGCTAAGGGGACACAAGGCAGCACAATTATGACAGTCCACTACTGTAAGCACTGTAAAGGATGCACGGACGAAGATGGGAGTATCAATTTAGAAAACTTCAGCATAATCGCTGAAATGCCAAAGAAGACAAATACTATTCCAGCAGTTGAGTTGGTGACCAACAAATCACACATCACGGTTTGCTTTCAGCAAGCAAGTTCCTCTCTTGAAGGAATTTATGGCATCTGGGACAAAACTGCTCCATTAAAACTCTGGTGCGGCATCCTGAATTCTGGAGGTACGCTGTGCTGGGAACCTGGTTATTAACTGATGGAAACCATATTTCTGGGTAGGAAACTGAACTGTTCTGTGGGCAGACAGCAAGGCTTATGAGTGAATAAACTGGAATGATTGGGTTTCTTCTGTGAGAAGAAGTCATGAAGTAATTCACAAAAGTAAATTCAGTACTTTCAGGTCAAACAGTGCTTAAAACTACACCAGGAGAGGTTCAGATAAACACTTTACTCTGGTTTATAAAGATATGTTTTTATTTTAGGGTGTTTTTGGCAACAGCAATTCCCATGGTGAAATTCTGTGCCACGTTGCAATGTGTGAATCCCACCTGCTTCAGCCAGAGCACACCCAGGTCCAGCCTCAAGAGCTGCTCTGTGCTGCTCTTCTGTCCAATTCAATAAGCACCCAGGAACATCTTTCCAGCTTCCTCACAAAACTGCCAAAATCAGGAATTCAAATACCTGTCAGTACATGGAGCAAGTGGCTCTATGAGGGCAAAACTTCATGGTGGCTCAGTCTGCAGGGCTTTTATTTAGCCCAATCTAACAGACTTTTATTTAGGCTAATCATTCCTCCTGTATTTAATTTCTGGCCACCATGAAACCATTTCTCTCGTGTATTTATGCTCACCACTGCAAAATATCTGCATGCTGTCACTACTGTGTAAAACTTTGGTGACACTGAAACATTCACAGTGAAATCTGGAAATTCTGTAGACAGGGATCCCTGTATCCCCTCCCTGGGGAAGGGGTGGATGTGTAGGTGAAGGCAGGAGGGAGTTTTCCAGATTCTCTTTGAAGAAGAAGAAGAAGCTCTACAATGGCACAGTGGGGTGCAGGGTTGGTAGGAGATGCTCTCCAGGTCTTAGAGATTTACTCAGCTACTACAAGATATTTACAACAAGCTACTTGCTTGTTCCTCTTCTGTGGTTCCTGTGGGTAAAAGGCAGCTTGAAAAAAATTTTAGTACCTTTTTATTGCATAAAGGTAATGATAAGCTTTTTACAGATGTATTGTTATTAACTGCATGTGAAAACTTTCTTACCTTCTCCAAGTATTTTCATTCTTGATTCTCAGAACAACTCATCAGCTTTGGTGAGAAGGAAATCTAATGGTAGTGGTTGATTTGGACTGTTAGGGAATGAAACATCTCCAACTTGTAGCAATCATAGCAATCTCCAACATTTTGTGCAACATGATCCACTTTTTAAATCTATTAACCTCTTCAACATCTTTAGCCCTTCAATGAAGATCTTCTACATGATCCATATTTATAATCAAAACTTTTTTTACCTTTCATCTTTCTCAGAAAATGGAGGAGGTAACTTCAGTACTGAGGACAAGAAAGTTTGCTGTGAAGCAGAGGCAATTGCCTGGCAACACAACCCTAACCTGAAGTGCTACGTTCAGAAATCACATCCAAAACACACTGCACTGCCAATTGCCCTTCCTGGTGAGGGAATTCTCGATTAATCTCTTCTTGTGTTTGCCTTTTGCTTTGAGACGGGTTTGTCCAGACAGCTTGATGTGAACGGAGTTTTACATGGGCAGGGAGATGTCCTGTCGCATTCATAATTTGAATCCACACATGCTGCAGCCAGCCAGTCTCAGAGACTTCTACTTAAAAAATGGACAGAGATGGACACAGGCTCAGGTTCCTGTAATTACATACTGACAGACACAGGGGTGCTGAGGGAAGGAGGTACATGATGGGTGTGCAACAAGTTCCCAAGAACTGACCTTATCTGTAAGTGCTAAATGAGACTTTGCCTCCAGACTAAGAGGACATTTGTCAACTGAAGGTGACATTTATATATTCAAATTTCTTTCATAGTAGAAACCCCTGTCATCTTCCTTAGGTCATGGACAAAAAGGTTTTTAAAAACCAGTCAAAGTGGATTTCCCTATTTGAACACTTCATCAAGGATGGGTCTCACCACTTGTTGTTGGTTATTTCGGATAAGATTGATGTTCAAAGGGGTGACAAGAATTTGCTTTGAATGTTGATAAAGTTTATTTCTGTAAAATATGATGAGCCAGAGGCCCTTTGATCTCTCATTTATCAGTTCCTTCTCTATCAGATGGGGCCAGTTCCTTCGTGTGGTGCTTACGAGGCAGCTCATGGCTTAGCACTCCTGCTTACTTCACTTGGATGCTCTGTTTTCTTCTACTCTGCAGGTAATCCTGAATTTCTCACCAGCAAAAAGAACAGCCTTGGCACCTGGTTGACATTCCTGTTTCTTGGGATTTGTGCAGGATGCGGCGCCACGTTTTATTTCTCGCGGCTGCGGCGTCGCCAAGGTACAGTCTGACAAATTGTGTGCTGCCTGTGGGTCCCACACCTGGAAGTGGGAAAAGGAATAAAGGGTTTTCATCCGGGATCTCATCTTCATTGTGTTGTTCCTGCAGTTCTTAGGATGTCTGCTGGGCTGACAGCTGGGATGAACTCTCCTCCTGTGGCTGCCGTGACAGTGCCCATCCTGTGGCTTTGGTGTGAAAAATAAGCATAGGAGGAGTTTCCTCACTTCTTCCTCCTGAAACAAGGGGGAAGCTCTGGCAGGGCCAAGTAATCACAGGGCTCAGCCTTCCCTCCATGGGATCCTGCTCCTTGGAGCAGTCCCAGGCTGCAGCATTGTTGTGCAGCTTACCTGGCAGGGATGTGCCCCAGACAGGACATCCAGGCATGGGCTGACAGAGCCTTCAGGAGAGTGGCTTCCTCTCCCAGCCCTGCCCACTCCAGAGCCAGCTGTAATTTAAGAATGAGTAATTCCCTAAATTAATCCAAGAGGGAAGTTTGTTTTGCAAACCAATATGAAAGGAGAGAGGTGGGGCACACTCCATCCTGTGTCCACTTGGCTCCAGGGTTTTTGGCTCCTGAGGCTGAGCCTCCTCTCAGTTACTGAACTAGTCCATCCCCTGATGCTGGTTGTTTCTTTCTGAGAGCCAAAGGATTACATTTCTGAGTCTGAATTTGTTTCAGGAAGAGTTGCACAAGTGCTTGCACAGCCAGCAAAGGCAGCACAAAACCAGTCTCACTGTTGTTACATCAATAGATTAATGGATATATTGGTGTGAGGGGTAAAAAATTTACCAGTAATGACTGCCCTGAGGTGCAACGTCCAGTGATGATTCAGGTGTGTCCTAGAGCCCCTCTAAGGCAGAAGTTGATGGGTCACTGCAGCAGGGCAGGGTCACAGCAGAGCCTTGAAGCTGCCTCTTTTGTGGAGCAAGGGGTGGCCAGTAGCAGATGGGAGAAGGGAGTTGCCTGGAGGACTTCACAAATGCAGGCATTTTGTTTATAATTCTAACTGGAATCTACCAGTTTCTTTGGTGGTCTCACAGATTATTTTTTCTTCTGCAGCTTCTAGGCAAGAGAGACAGGCTTCTGACAGAGAAAAGCTCACACATCCTCGATAACCACCTACAAGGGAGAAAACCCCTCTGCCAGCAGCATACTTCTCCTTACTCATGATGTACAGCAACCAGCTCAACACAGACTGATTTTCCATGGGAACTCCTGCCCTTGTATTCCCAAATAGTCCTGTTTTCACAAAAGTACCTTCACCACATCCACACCTTCTCCTGACTCTTGTCCAGCTCCAGGCCTGTGTGAGCAGCACAGGCAGCACCAGGAGCCCCCATCCTCTCCTTGGCTTGGCTGCAGACAGCAGGCACCCCAGGGTGTGTGACTGACTCAGCAGCACTGAAACCAGCTGAATTCTCTCTGTGACACAGTGGGAACAGCTCTGAAATGCTTCCCATGCCCTCTGCATGGCTTTCACTTGGTAATGCCACAGCAGCACCCAGGTGTCTGTATTGTTTGAATTTTCAGGTCATCTCTGCATCCACCAAAGCCTTTTGCACCACAAGCTGGCTGGTAGGTTGAACTGGAAGAGTTTGGAAGAGATATTTGATTTTGCCCTCGCCTCAGGCTGAGGACATCTCTGAGTGTTTGTTCCAGTGCAGGGCTGGGTTGGAGGCTGTGTCCAGCTCCCTCAGGAATAGCATTGGGTCACAGAGGCCTTGTTCACCCCAAGCTGAGCAGAACTCTAGTATCAATCCTCCTGACAAATGAGGCAAGTTTAGACAGTGTGAGATGAGTACAGCCCCTCAGGAATCCCACTGGGCACTTGGTATCCTTAAATCATTCCCCATTCCCACCTGATTTGAATAAATCCTCAGCTTTTGCATTGGTTCTAATTTACTGTCAGGACTGTTGAGCAAAAATCAGTGGCAGCACAAGGGGAGAAGCAAATCCCTAAAGCAATGTGAATGCTTGTTGAATCACTGTTCTTTTGTCACACAGCTAAACACAAGCACACACACAGTTCTTGCTTCATTTCTGCTTTGATTGGCTGGATTTTGTTTGTTGCTTGTTTTTTCCTCAATGTGTCTTAACCATCCAGTCAGCAGCAGAGTGAACCTTGCCAACAAACTATCTTGTGTTGGTGCTCAATATCAAATTTGCATTTTACTGATCCCTTTGGTGGTAATGTTTTGAGATCTCCAACACTTTGAACAGGCATTTCCCATTTGATTTGATCCCTCTGTTCCTTCCTATCCATTGTAAAAATGCTTCTTGCTCAGTTTCTTTGGTTATTGGGGTCATTGGAAATCTCTGAGGATGTCATTATACATTTGTATACCTTTGTTTCTCACTGTAGACTGGACTTATACCTTCTGCAATCCTCTTTCAGAGAATCTGTATTATCCAGTTTGTTGATGTTATTAATGCTTTTTCCTTGATGTTATTAAATGCTTCTTAAAAAAAAAAAAGTGTTTTCTTCTATTCTCTGCCACTTTTTCTTACCTTTGCATTCCTGATTTAGATCTGATGCCAGCTCCAGTTATCAGGCTGAGTTTACTGCAGCTTTTATTTTGAGAACCAATGGGATCATCACAGGAATATAGAGATAACTAAATTTTCTGTGTGAGTGACAGCAGGCACTCCTTTGCCAAGGCCTTTGAAGCCTGGGAAGGTGCTGAGCTGCTCAGGTCACTGGGCATGAAAGGCACTACAGGTGCCAGAGCAGCCAAGAAATGACATGTCCAGCACAGGGAGACTGAGGTCCAGTCTCACAGAGCAGTTCTGTTGGTGGAGGACTGGTTCCTGCCACCCAAAAAACCTCACCCAAAAAAAGAGAGAAGAAAGCAGCAGATCTTACCCTCATCTGTATTTTCTGTGCTTACAGGCCCTGAACTCACAACAGACCTGGGAGCCCTTGCATGGCCAGGCAGTGCCAGGCTGGGGAGCAGAGCTCAAATCCAGTCACTCACATCCCTGCTGCAGTACCCAGAGGGACATGGTGACTGCCCAGCTGCTTCTGAGCAGGTTCCTGGGGAGTTTCTGGGAGTGTGATTGGCTTTTTCCATGTTTTCCCTACTGCACTGTACCACACATCAGCATGGGCTTGCCTGGTGTCAATGTTCAGGGACACTGCACTTTAAAAGTGAAAGTGAAAATCCAATTACAGGCAATTAGGCACTAATTACATCAAGTTAAATTTCAAAGAATGGAGGAACCAATATCCTGCTTTTCCTCCAGTATCCAAGCGACTTTCTCCTCTCCTGGTCAGGGCTCTGGAAGGGGAGCTGAACGAGCTGGGGGCTGGAAAGGCTCCACAGGCACAGGGGGATGGGAAGAGGCATGAAGGCTTCCTTGGTCACAAACAACGTGTGTGGTGCTCACACTGTCTTCTTTAAGTGCTTCTGTCTTCTAAGACAATCTCTTCCCTTAGAAATTGTTGCTCTTTTTGCTTGTTAAGTAGAGATGTAGAATATAATTGGCTGTCTGGGTTGCAAATTTAATTCTCACTTTGCTATGGTGGAAAAGGCTTTATTGTCCTGGTAAAGATTGGAATTATTTATTGTCTTGGCTTTGCAATGAAGTTAAGAGAGAAGGAAAAGCATGAAAGTTTCAGGTAATGATGTTTCCTCGAATAGATCCTTTTAGCAACAAGATCAAAAGACCTTGTTAGGGCTCTACAGTTTTCCTGTCAAATCCTCTTTCTCCTGCTGGTGATGTGAGGTGGGCTGGTTTGTGGGTCAGGTCTGCCCTGGGGGGAAGCTGGGTGTGGGTGCTGGTGTTTGCTGAAGGAACTCCAGCTCCTTCTGCTTGGCAATTATTCACATTGTCATGATGCAGATAACCTCTGCTGGTTTGTGTGAAGGGCTTGGATAATAATTGAGGGTTTTCCCGAGGTAATGGAGCATCTCTCATCTCCTTTCTCCTTACAAAGCCAAGACAAACTTTGCATCTGCAGCCACCGATCTAAGCCTGTGGGAGTCCTGACAAACTGAACTGATGGTAGCAAGCCCCTGCATTTCTGGGATGGGAGACAACTGCCTGACTTTGGCACTGTGAAGAGCAAATTTGAGCCGCCCTTTTCTCGGTAATCTTCAGAGGGCAGGTAGGTCCTCCCCACAGACAACTTTCCACTGCTGCCCTGGGGGCTGGGGGTTGCTGAGGAAAACAGGGGTGGTTTAAGTGTGAAAAAACCCAAGGTGCCCCTCCCAGACAAATGGTTTTTCCCCCCCATCACCAGCATTGTGATACAAAACCAAAACTCTGCTGACTTCTTTCAGTAGACAGTTCAAGTAACTGATAGACAACAGCCCAACCTGGGGCTTGGGACTCTTTCCTCAGGGCTTTAACTCATTGTTCAGACTGAGAGAGCAACTAAAAAGACCTTTGAAAATGCCGTGGATGTTGTTTCTCCCAAATGCATCCCTCTTGCTTCTGCTTCTACCGTGCTTCCCTGCCCTGGATGGTACGTACAACATTGATGCTCTTACATTTCTTACATTTCAATATTTTCTTTCCTTTTTTCCAACCTTTTCTAAACTATGTTTGCCTTAGACATGCAACACTCTCTCTTTTATTTTTCTTCCCTTGCTTCTGATGTTGCTTCTTTCAGGTGTTTCCCATTTGACCTCTCTATTCCTCGCCATTCATTGCACAAATACTCCCCCTTCAGTTTCTTTGGATATTGGGGTCATTGGAGAGCTCCAAGGATTTAATTCCATATTGTATGCCTGTTTCTTAAATAGATTGGACTTACACTTTCTGCAGCCCTCTTCCTGTATTGAATCTGAGAATCTGTAAATCTGTATTATCCAGTTCCCTGATGTTATTAAAAGCCCCCTCAAAAGGATGAGTGTATTTTCTTCTATTCTCTTCTTCTTTTTCTTACTTTTAAATTCTTGATTCAGATTTGAAACCAATTATCAGGGTACTCTTAGTGAAGTTTGTATTTTGAAAACTAATAGGATTTTCCTGGGAATCTACAGAGATAACTAAATTTTCTGTGTGAGTGACAGCAGGCACTCCTTTGCCAAGGCCTTTGAAGCTTGGGAAGGTGCTGAGCTGCTCAGGTCACTGGGCATGAAAGGCACTACAGGTGCCAGAGCAGCCAAGAAATGACATGTCCAGCACAGGGAGACTGAGGTCCAGTCTCACAGAGCAGTTCTGTTGGTGGAGGATTGGTTTTGAAAAGTATTTTAAAAAATACTTTGATATGATCAGACCAAGAGGAACTCTGATATTACAATTTCAATTGCATTTCTTATTTTTAGACGGAGGAAATGAACAGTCCACAGACGTTATCAGTGCTTGGGAAGGAGACTCCGTCAACATAACTTGCCCAATTAATGGTTCACAATGTCAAGTGGATATGGTCTTGAGAGCTATCAGACAGAGTCTTGACGTGATATATTGTCTCAAGGAGAAATCTCCATCTGTCAATCCTACCCTTGATAATCGCATCGAGTGGTCAAAGGAAGGGGGGAATCTCAGGACAACCCTGCACAGGTTAAAGGAATCTGATTCCGGAACCTACGTGTGCTGTGAGACGGTTGAAATCAATCGCAATCCCAAACAGATATACAGGAAGACAACCATAGTAGTGGTCAAAGGTATTGCAATTCCACCTTTTATGTCACGAATTAGTAAATGCAGATCTGTATTTTAAATCAAAGATTGGAAGGAGACACAATGGGAGGATAAGTCTGACAGAAACTTCTCCGTGTCTGCTCAGGCACAGATTTGAAGGAATGTGTGGGTTTGCTCCCTGAAACAATGAAGAAAACAAATGAGGTAGTATGGTACCAAAAAACCCCCAAACCATCCCAGAAGATTAATTTGTGACTCATTAATTCCAGCTACAGATTTTCACATGAGTCACAGGTTGCTGCAGCAGCTTGGAAACAGTGAGGTCCCACAGCTCTTTCCAAAACAACCTCTCAAACATTTTAAACATCTAGCACAGCAAAGAGGGGGTTTTTTGGTAGCAGTTGTTTTTGCAAATCTCTTTTGCTTTTACTTATTTGTCTTAAATGACAAATTGGTAGTAACTGGGAGGCTGGTCTTATGCAAGCTGGGCATGAGTGAGTAAAGGGTTTTTTCTCTTGTTATTGAGGAGTTGCTGAATGGGCAGAAGTGCTTATTTTGGCAGGTATTCCTGGTTGGGGAAACCATTTTTCTGTCTTTATTATTTATTGTTTTTCATTAGAAAAGGGTTGAGTCCACACTATTCTTTGGCCGTTTATTCCTCCATGTACCTGTCCTTCCAATGAGACCTTCTAACCTGAGACATCTTTCCCAAAGCTTACAAGGCTTTCTTCCTTTCCTGTCCCCCAGGCATGTGAGATCTAATTGATCAGCAATAGTAATTTATATCCATGAAGGATTATCATCTCCTCCCTTGGGCTTCTCCTTTCAAACTTCTTGGCTGCGTTTTCTCAAATGCATCACATCTTGTTTATTGTGTATTGTCTCTCCAAATTATTTTATTAAGTTGCTTTGTAGCTCTGTTTGATTCTGATCCTCTTCTCTGAAATGCTTCCAATCTTCTCTTTCCAAACCTGATCAATTCTGTCCTCACTCCCTTACCCACTTTAATGATAATGTTCAAAGGAACAAGTCCTGTCCTCAGAGGAACGCAGTGGAATGTCTTCCCAGCTGGACAGTGAGTCATTAGTGACCACTCCATTCTCATGGACCATTTTAACATTGATGGGGCACACACTGTGATTTGATCCAGACCAACAGCCCCCAGATCTCTCTATGGCTTCATCTCACTTGAGAAAGCAGGCAATGGTGCATGGCTCCAGGACGTGCTGATCAGGCTGTAGTCCCTTACAGAGGTCAGTATTTATCATTTTTTAGGTGATTTGATCCAGACCAACAGCCCTCAGATCTCTCTGTGGCTTCATCTCACTTGAGAAAGCAGGGAATGGTGCATGGCTCCAGGACGTGCTGATCAGGCTGTAGTCCCCTTACAGAGGTCAGTATTTATCATTTTTTAGGTAGATGCAGACCCTGTACAAACAGCTAAACCTGTTGGTCAGTTCTCCTTTCAGATCCTGAGCTAGAGTGTGCTAAAATATATCCTTCTTCTCAAATCCTGTGTAAAGCATCTTTAAAAATTTATTTTATCTACATTTCTATGGTTTGTTCTTTCTGTCTGCTCTGTCCCTTGCTCCCCAGTTAACATGAACATGTGATAACCACTAATCTCTCTGGTTTTAGCTGTATCCAGAAGGCCTGTGGAGCAGTCACCACTCCATGCCAACCCTGAGCAAGGCCAGTCTGTCAACATCACCTGTGTGTTGAAAAGCTCAGCTGAAGATGAGTTCCTCTTGCTCAGGACTCACGTGCAGCCTAATGAAGTTCTGTCTGTGTCAAAACTCAACATTTCAAAGGTTTCTCCTGACTTTGAGAATCGCTTGGAGTATTCAAAGGAAGGAAATAGAATTGT